TTGCGCGCCCCATCCCCCCTCGATGGGGCCCGCCCACACCGGGGCCTCCCCCCTCCCGCCCACTGCTTTCTCAACGGCCCCGAGCCGGGGCTGCCCTCATTGCATACATAGTGCGCCTTTCCCTGCTTTTCTAGTGACCTAGCGTTCCGCACTGCCGTTTGGCCAGCCCATGCTCCCGTACCGTTGCGTTTCTCCCCAATGCGCCATGCCACTTTGCCAGTCATACACACGTTTCGATGCGTGCCCTGTCAGCTGCTTGCGTTGCATGTCGCCTTGCTCCACCCCTGTTTTATTGCTTTCTCTGCTTTCGCCCGGTTCCCGTCCCGTTTCGGCGGGGAGTCTATGTTGCAAGCTAGTTCTTGCTTTACCAGACTTTAAGCCCACACAAGCAAGCAGTCTTCGCATTAGCCTGCCTCTGGGCCACCCTCAGCGCTGATCCCTCGTGCTTGTCAGCACGCCCCTGCCTCCCCTCGATTCCACCATGCAGATGGGGCAAGGTGTGCTCGGGCGGGTTTGGAGCTGAGGAGGCATCTGTGGTATGCCGCGAGCTGGGCCTCTCTGGCGGTCGGGCCTCTGCCACATTCCCTGCTCGCCCCGGCCTGCCCTTCATCATCGGCCGCGTCGCGTGCACCGGCTCTGAGCGCCGTCTGGCAGAGTGCAAGTTCGTGGCCACTGCAGCCTGCGCCACGGGGAAAGCTGCCGGTGTGGTGTGCTCAGGTGAGCGGGCCAGGGGCGGGCATGAATGCCGCACAGCGACTCGGCCGGCCACTTCTGCTGGCCAGCTCCTGGCCTCCCGTGCTGCTTCTCGTTTACCCTTCCAAGCCCTTCCCTCCGCCTCTTGCGCTTGGCCTCTCCCGCAGCCCCCCCGGTGCTGGATGTCCGCCTGGTGGGCAGCTCATCTGGATACTACGGCCAGTCGCCCAAGCCCTGGGACTGGGAGGAAAGCCCGGAGATGCCCATGTCTCTAGTTGACGGCATCTACAGCCCCTCCCCCTCCCCCTCCCCATCCCCATCCCCCTCGCCCTCAGACGTGAATGTGCCACCCGTGCTGCGCGGCCGCCTGGAGGTGTATGTGGGAGGCGAGTGGGGCAGCGTGTGCGCCACCGGCTTTGGCCAGCAGGAGGCGTGGGTGATGTGCAGGTGGGTGTGGGGCCCGTGGGACGAGGCCGGGCTGCTTGCCCTCCTGCATGGCCGGCGCCGCCAGCGCCACCCCAAGGCATGCCCAACAACCCTCAGAGGTGCCGGCCCTGTGTTGGCCACTCACCCCTCTCCCCCTCTCTCACACACACACATGCAGGATGATGGGGCTGACGGGTGGGCGTGTGCTGCGGGCAGGCTCCTACTCCGACAAATTCGACCAGGCTCAGGCTGTGGTGCTGGACCGCGTGGCCTGCAAGGGCACCGAGGCTGACCTGGCCGCCTGCACCTACAGCGCTGACCCCGGCCAGGCCTGCACCCACGCCCAGGACGTGGCCCTGGAGTGCACAGGCAGGCTGTGGAGCAGTGCCATGGCGGTGGTTGTCACACGGCACCGCAGCGGCAGCTTGCCTGCCCAACAGCCGGCCGTGTTGCCTCCTGCACCCACAGCGGTGACCTGGCCAGGCAGCAGCCGCAGCTCGAACGAGCACAGCCAGCTTGGCGGTGCGTGAGTGAGCGTGCGTGTGCCTGCCGCCATGCTGGCTCCCGCCGCCTGCAGAGCCTCCCCCCATGGGCATGCGGCTGGTGGAGGGCAAGAGCAGATACGAGGGTCGTCTGGAGGTGGGGGGACCGTGCCCTGCTGCAGGGAGCAGCCTGCCTGGAAGGCGCTGCAGCTGTGGCGATGCCGCTGGCTGTGCCAGGAGCTCCGGCTGTACCGAGGCACGCCGCGCCCATCATGACCAAGGCTGGCGCCGCCCTGCTGCCTGACCTCTCCCGCACGCAGGTCAACTTTGGTGGGCGCTGGGGCACCGTTTGCGACGCGCGCGGCACCTTTTCCCAGGACATGGCCAGGATGGTGTGCTACAAGCTGGGCATGGTTGGGGGTAAGGCACGCAGGGCACCGCGCCCCGGCAAGCTGCCCATCCTCCTGTCCGGCGTCAAGTGCGATGCCAGGGCCGCCGACCTGTCTGCCTGCTCCTTCAACACAGCCACCAAGGCCTGCACTCACGCCATGGATGTGGGCATCGAGTGCACACGTGAGACGCCGCCCCGCGCCCCGCGCTGCCACGCCCTGCCCGGCCTGCACTCTCAGCCACCAGCAGTGGCAGTGGCCGGCCCCCTGCCCCTGCATGTCGAAAGCTTGATGCAGGTGCAGCTGTTCGGCCCCCCCCGCCCCCACCGTGGCCGTACGCGCATGAGGCCGCCACTGACGCCCCTTCCTGGCGACCCCCTCCCCCCTGGCACAGACCCTATCTCCACGGTGTCCAGCTTAACCATCTACGGCCAGAATGGCGACTTCCCCGAGGGCTACCTGTCAGTGGAGGTGTCCAGCGGCGACAGCGGCTGGGATTATGGCACCATCTGCAGCGACGGCTTCACCGCAAAGGACGCCAAGGTGCGAGGGCTGGTGCACCTTCCACGCTGCCGGGCCGCATGTCCTGGCATGCGCGATGATGTAGGGTGCAGGCATTTGCTGCCTGAGAAGAACACACAGCAGCTGACTAACCACACCTACAGTGACCGAAACCAGACAGCCCACAGCCTAGCCGCACAGGCGGCGGCAGAGCACTGACGCCTGCACCTCTGGAGGCGCAGGTGGCATGCTGGCACATGGGGTGGCCCGGTGGCAAGCCCGTGGTCTATTCATCAGCCCCACGCGAGATCCGCAACTCCGACAAACTGGTCAGCCGCCTCGTGTGCAATGGAACCGAGCCCAGCCTGAATGAGTGCCGCTTCGAGACGGGCCTCAAGTGTGCAGGCGGCAAGGCCGCAGCTGTCCAGTGCGCTGGTCAGTAGTCAAACTGAGCGGGTGTTTCCCCGATGCCTGCTGCACAATGCCAGCCCTCGGCACACTGATATGTTGTGTGCCCAGAAATGGTGGCTGTCCTTGTGCCTCCAACTGCCCTACCTGCTGCTCCGCCTGCAGGGGCCGCCATTGGTCAGGTGCGCCTGGTGGGTGGCAAGTCGACGCTGAAGGGCAGGGTGGAGGTCCGCATTGGGAGCCGCTGGGGCACCGTGTGCCCCTTCAATGAGGAGGAGGCGCAAGTCGTGTGCCGCTCCCTCAACCTGGCCGGCGGCGCGGTGGCGGACTTTGGCGCCGGCGCCCTGCCCAAGTCAGTCTCTTTTTCATGCCTGGGCAATGAGACCAGGCTGGGGCAGTGCGGGTGGGACAGCAGCGCCTCCGGGCGACAGTGTGGGTACATGGACAGCGAGGAGGATGCCGTGCAGAGTGCTGGGGTGGTGTGCCGCAAGGCCTGCCCCGCCGCCAAGCTCGCCGACAGCAACGTGGCTGGCGGCGTGGCGCTGTTCAAGAACGCGGCAGGCAAGTCGAGCTTCCCCAGGGGGCAGTACCAGGTGAGCTGCAGTAGGGTGGGGGCAGCAGCGCAGGGGGCGAGCTTGAGGCAATGCGGGTGGTGGCGGCGTGTGTGCCTCCTGAGCTCACCGTTCCTGCCTTCAAAGCCTGGGCAGCAGGACGATGCAACCTTGCCATGCATTTTCTTTCCCCTTTTTCCTCAGCTCGCCTATCCACCCTCTCCCTCTGCTCGCATGCGTGGTGCAGTTGAGGTATCTGGGGGGCTGTGCTAAGCTGAACCCAGCATGGGACTGGTCTGTTGGGGATTACTACACCGCCAAGTCCTTCTGGTATGTCACGAACTCACAACGCAAGAAGATATCCAGCGGTGAGTGTGGCCCACGCTGCCTAGGAGGAGGGGCTGCGACAGTGGCGTGCATCGGCCCCGCGGTCGTGCCGGTACTGTGTGCCTATGGCCCACCGCCACAGCATTAGGGACAGCTTATTGTCAACTCTGCAAGCGTTGGCCTCTGGTGTGGGCATGCAGAGACCATCGTGTCGTCATGGTTGAGCCTGCTGTGCCAGAGTGCATTCATTCATTCATTCATTCAGCACACAGCCCGGCCGCCTCTTGCTCGAGGGCGGCCCACTTTGGCCTGGGCCGCCCGGGCCGCCCTCCCCCCCGGGCGCATGTTCGGTGTTGGAGGGGTGTGCCCAGCGATAGGGGGCCCCTGAAGGCATGCGCCGAGGCCGGGAAGCGTGGTTCGGCGCTGCTGCACGCTTGGCGATTTGACCAGAACCACGTGCCGCCGAGCTGCGGCCGCAGTTTCCGGCCCACGGTCTACGGTCGCAGCCACGGGACTCGGCGGCACGGCGTTTGGGCCCAAGCTTGCTGCCGCCGCCGCCGTGCCCGGGGGGCAGCGCGGCGGCGGCGGCACGCTGCGACGCCCCCGTGCTGCCGAGTTGCGGCCGTAGTTTCCTGCCAGAAGCCCACGGCCACAGCCACGGGACTCGGCGGCACGGCGTTTCGGTCCACGGCTTGCTGCCGCCGCCGTCGCAGGGGTGCTGCCTGCGGCGGCGGCGGCACGGCGTTTGGGTCCACGGCTTGCTGCCGCTGCCGCCGCCGCAGGGGTGCTGCCTGCGGCGGCGGCGGTAGCGCACGTGGCAACCCCCCGCGTTTCCTTGCCTCCCATCCACCGGACCCCGTCCTGCGCTTCACTTTGTTTAGGGAGGGGCTGCTCACTGCTCATTGCTCATTGCTCATCGCACACTGCTCAACGCTCATTGCCCTATATCCCACCCAGCCGCAGGACTCCACTGCCGCCCGCGCCCCGCCCCATCTGGCCGCTTGCGCGCCCCATCCCCCCTCGATGGGGCCCGCCCACACCGGGGCCTCCCCCCTCCCGCCCACTGCTTTCTCAACGGCCCCGAGCCGGGGCTGCCCTCATTGCATACATAGTGCGCCTTTCCCTGCTTTTCTAGTGACCTAGCGTTCCGCACTGCCGTTTGGCCAGCCCATGCTCCCGTACCGTTGCGTTTCTCCCCAATGCGCCATGCCACTTTGCCAGTCATACACACGTTTCGATGCGTGCCCTGTCAGCTGCTTGCGTTGCATGTCACCTTGCTCCACCCCTGTTTTATTGCTTTCTCTGCTTTCGCCCGGTTCCCGTCCCGTTTCGGCGGGGAGTCTATGTTGCAAGCTAGTTCTTGCTTTACCAGACTTTAAGCCCACACAAGCAAGCATGGCGCGCCCATTCGCCCAACTACACAGAGTGCGTGAGACAAGCCAAGCGGGAGCTGTCGACTCCCTTCATCTTCGACCATCCAGGTCAGCCCGAGGCTTGCCAGCAACAGTACCGGCCTGGCATCACTGATAGCAGCCGGGAAGCAGCCGCATCTGCGGATTGCGGATGAGCTGCGGCATGTTTGCATGCACGGTTGCGAAGCCGCACTTGGACCTGTGAGTGCAGGTGGCGATGTGGGTGTCTGGCTCGACGACGGATTCAATCAGTTTGGGCTGGCCAATTACAAGGACAACGTGAAAGGCAAGGCCCTGCTGGAGGAGGGGAGGGGCCACGCTGGCAGCCTAGCCTGTTCAGGCCTGCAACATGCACGAGCCAGCAGGCCAGCCAGGACACGACTGCCGTAGGTTGGCCATCAAGCGTGTCCATGCTGCGGTGCAGGGAAGCCCAGCCCCATCTGGGCTCTGGAGCGCCTGGATGCCGACGGCAAGTGTTGACCGATGGGATGCCGGCACCTGTTTGTGTTGTGTTGTGTGTGATGATGGAGTGATGAGAGGTCGAGTCAGCGGCAAGCCAACCCTCCGCCCTCTCTTTTCCTTGTTGTTGTGTTGAGTGATTCATTCATTCGATTCACCACCTGTGATTCACCACCTGTGAGTTATCGTTTGCAGCCAAGATCAGGTGCAGCTGTGCAAGCGGCGCCAGCTGCCTATCAAAGTCCAACACGGGGCAGCTGTTCCCTCAGAACTTCACGCCCGCCACATTCCTCTCGTCCCGCTCGGCCGACAGCACCAGCAGCATGCCGGCAAACGGCACCAGCGACAGGGCAAAGCCGATGTACTGCAGGGAGGAAGCGGGGTGGGGAACAGCAGCGGGGCTGTTTAGCATTTGCAGGAAGCCAAGCGCACGCTCGGCTTCACCACAGCAGGCCTGCTCTGCCCATCCGCCCCTCGCTCCCCCCAGCCCTACTCGCCTTCTTAACACCCCAGGCCCTCAGGTGGCTCTCGCGTTCCTTCAGGTCCAGGCTGCCCCCCACATTCTCAATCACCGTCTTGGCGGGGGCCAGCACCTGTGCAGCAGGACGGGGCGCAGCCAGAAGCAGATACAGATAGGAGGCAATGAACAGGCCTAGGCCAGCTGACGGGCAGGATGGCACAATACAGCCTCGAAGCTGTTCAGGCAGAGCAAGGGAGCCTTCAGGCCGCCCCCGCCACCCAAGCCCGCACCAGCATGCTGTACAGGATGGGCAGGCCCGACAGAATGGCGGCAGTCAGCCAGGCGGGGTCCCGGTTAGCATCGCCTGCAGGGAGCCAGAGAGCCCAGGTGGTGGCAGGCGGGCAGGCACCTCGAGGTGGGCATGCTGACAGTTGAGCAGCTGTGCAGTGCTGAGGTAAAAGCCAGCAGTCTCGACACCGGCAGGCAGGAGGCAGGCAGGCAGGCCCAGCCCACTCTCGGAAAAGTAGGCGGCCAGGGAGGCTCCCGTGGCGATGGCCGACAGCGTGGAGCAGGCGGTGGCAGAGGCGGTGGACAGCTTGGGGAACACTGCAGGGGAGCAGGGGGTGGGGCAACGGCGCTCCTTTGGGAGGCTCTTCTGGTGCTGTGCTGACAGCGAGCGAGCGAGGCCGGCTCCCGGGAGGCGCCAAACCTCCCTGGCCCTGCCTGCGAGGCGACGACTCACCAGCAGTGTACTCTGGCACGCCCGTCTCCATCAGCGCGTTGTGCTTCAGGATGGAGGCCAGCCCGTGGCCCGCCTCCAGGCCCGCGGCTGCTGTGGCAACCAGCGCCCACATTGGACTAGGGCCGGTCGTGTGTCGTCGTCGTCGTCGGCGGCGGCGGTGGCTGGCAGCCTTGGCCTGCAGCACGCAACACGATGGGCTGTCAGTGGCAGTGGGTGGCTCACAGGCTGTAGCTGCCGCTGTCACAAGAGACACAAGCAACTGGGCAGCAAGGGCAAGTCACTGGCTTCGTCTCTGGTGCTTCTGCAGCAAACCCTACCCTTGGACGGCGACAGAAAAGAACACACGTACTGCAGGAGAGGGAAAACGGGAGCTGGTGCCCTGGCGGCAGCCGCCCTTCCAAGCGGCGCCACGCTGACCGGGCGCCTTCCCGGAGGCGTGCTCGACATCAGACGTCAGAGAGCCACCCTTGCTCAATCCTTGGGGTACCCTGAATGACCATCTGCATGGGTCATCCTTCATCTCTCCATCCACCACATGTGCCCAGCTTGCTGCCGGGCACGCAAGCAACAACAGCATGTGGCGGCAGGTACCGCCTGCCGCCAGTTGCGGTACAAGTGCTGCTTTTACCTTTGGCTGGGCTCGCTAGATGGATTTGAGGCGCTGGTTTGTTGGTGCCTGGGGATCGGCAGCCAAGGAGCTTGGCTGCCTCCCAACGCAGAACTCGCCGCTCACTGAACTCCGCCAAATCGATCCCAGCGCATCGTTGCCATGGCCCCACGATTCGCCTCCAGCAGCGGGGGGTCCCAACGCAAAGCCCGCCAGCGCCAGGCCAGCGTGCTGGTGCTGTCGCTGGTGGCAGCGGGCCTGTTGGCGCGGAAATACTCGGCCTCCTTCGCCACAGCAGCCGCGGAATCCTCGCCAACAAGACCGCAGCCCCTGCAGTCGTCGCTGCTCAGCTCGCTGCGGCTCCAGCTCGGCGACGTGGTCAGCGGCGGCGGCGGCGGCAGCAGCAGTTCAGGGGGCGGCGGCAGCAGCGTGTGGGGGTTGTTAGGTGCAGCCTCTGCCACCGACCGCCGTGCCACGCAGCAGCGCATAGTGTATGAGCCGATTGCGGCGCCCGACCCCGCGGTAGTCAAGGAGCGGTGCCAAGGCACGACGGGCGATTGGTGCGGGCGGTACGAGGCGCAAAAGGAAATCCCGGCAAAGCCGCCGCCACAGGGCAACAAGACATGCCTTTGGAACTGCAACTTTGTGGGTGAGCACCGCAGGGTTGGCAGGGAGGTCGCACTGCGCTGCCGACTCTCCCTGCCCTTGCCCCCACATCCGCATGCGTTGCTGTGCATTCCTGCCCATGCCTTGCCCTGCCTCCCGCCGCTGCCACAGGCGTGTGCGATGCCATGAAGGGCCTCTGCCGTTGCCCGGCGGGATGGAATGACGACAGCTGCAGCACAAGGATGAAGGTACAACCTGGGGATCACCTGCATCACGGCTCTTTCTTCCTGCCCTACCGCCGTGCCTGCTCTGCTGCCCCGTCGTACTCACCAGCACGCATCTGGTTCCGCCTTCGTCTGCACGCCCTGCCTGTTCCCTACCGCAGCGACCGTGCAGCCAGCGTGTGCGGGAGCACGGCTTTGAGCCATACAACGAGCCTGTGGACCCCAACGGCGGGGCGGGCACCACCATGGCCTGCCACGACCTGTGCGACGAAGACATTGGTGGGTGCATGAGGGAGTGAAAAGGTGGTGTGGGGCTGTGGGCGCTGTGCCTGTGGATCCGGCTGTGTGGGTGCATGAGGATGCCAGGGCAGGGTGGTGCTTGGTGCTGGCGCAAGTGGTGATTGCAATGGCCACGTGGGTGTGCCATCAGCTCACCTGACCGCATTGCCCCGCCTGGCCCCTGGCGCAGCCGCCTGCTACTGCAACAGCACCTTCAAGCACGGCCGCATCCCCGCCGAGCCTCACATGCCGCCCGGCACGCCGCCCACGCGCCGCGGCCGCCCCATTGCGCACATGTGCCGCCGGAGCTCACCCGGCAGCTGGGGCGACGTGGCTCCTGACCTGCTGTACGGCGCAGATGGCTGGTGTGAGGTACGGGCCACGGCGCATGCGGCGCCAGGGCTTGGGGAAGCTTGCCTGCTCGCAGCGCCAATGCACACGCAACCGCGGAACCACCCCTGCTGCTGCTCTGCCTGCCTGCTCCCTGGCTGCAGTCCGACTCCCCCAAGTATCACTGCCCCTGCATCATGGTGCGTGGGCGATGTGCTGCTGGTGTGGCAGGGATCTCGTGCCCCCGCTCCCACCCTGCAAGCCCTGCCCTGCCTTCCTTGTTGCTGCGCTGGCTCCCTCCCCACCACGCTGACCCTGGTGCCTGGCTGACGGGCTTGGTGTGCAGGATGGCGTGGGGGGCCCCACCTGCGAGGATCCAGTGGAGGCATACTGCCCCAACCAGTGCAACGGTGGGCGGGCCGTGTTTGCGGCACGCTGCTGCGCCCCATGCATTGTGCTGACCAGCTTGCTCAGCCAGCGCACCCCGCTGACTTGCCCATCTGGCTGCCGCCGTGCGTGCAGGCCACGGTGAGTGCCTGTTGGGATTCTGCAAGTGCCACGAGGGCTGGTTTGGTCAGGACTGCGCCTACAGGACGACGGGCACGCCGTGGTCGCCAGGCAAGCACAGCATGCGCAGCGGGCCATCTGGCGGCTCCACACCCGTCCCCCCGCCGGCCTCTCGGCATGCCTGCGCCCACCACCTCTGCCGTTTGGCCAGATGGACGCCGTGCCTGCTGCACTTCTGCTCCGCTCAGTTTTTTTTTTGGGGGGGGGGGGCCCAAAGCAGCGGTTCCCTGCCCCACCCACCCAGCCCTGGCCTTGCCCATTCTCAGCCCCCGCCACCCTGACCCTCCATCCCTGCCTGCAGGCATGGAAGAGAAGGAGCGGCCGTGGCTGAAGGCGCACGTGCACACGCCGGCGGCGCGCGACCCCGAGGAGGGCGCCACCCGCAAGCGCCCGCTCATCTACGTGTACGAGCTGCCGCCCTTTTACAACTCGGTCATGCTGCAGGTGGGGGCTGGGCCGGGGAAGGGCTCGGGCCGCGCAGGGCTGCCGTTTTTTAGTTCTTTGCTGCCGCCTGAAGCTTACCAGGCACACACGCATCAAATGCACATGCCCAGCCAGCCAGGCTGCTCTCCCGGGCCAAGCTGCCGCCTGCCGCATGACGTGCCGCTGCTGCCTGCGGTGCCTCCTGCAGTACCGTGTGTCCCGCGAGGGCTGCGTGCACCGCTTCTTCGACGACCGCAACGCCACCGTGTTCAACGACATGATGCACCTGTACAACCCGGAGCCGGGTGGGTGCACGGCTGGGTGGCCGGCTGGCCGGCTGGCTGGCTCGCCAGGTGGCATTGCAAAGAAAGGACCCGGGGTCATGATGAAGCCAGGCATCGGCGGGACGGCAGTGCTGCCGCCCTGCCAGCTCGGCCCGCCTCAGGCGCACGCGCACGCACCCCGCCGCCGCTCCTCGCCGCCGCTCCACCCCACCCCGCGACGCCCACCCCGCCCCTGCAGGCCTGCACGAGGCGCTGCTGCAGAGTGAGCACCGCACTCTGGACCCCGATGAGGCAGACTTCTTCTACATACCGGTGAGGCAGGGGGTGGGCTGCGCCGGGGCTGCGGAGCGACCGAGCGCCCCAGGCAACCCTCACTGTTTTTTATGTTGTGTGCGTGTGTGTGTGTTCTCTGCCACCACGCGGCATCAACCTGGTGGCTGGCTGGCAGCAGCAGGTCTGCGGCTGGCCGCTGATGACTGCAGCGGCTGGGCCGTGCAGCCAGACTCAACACTGCCTGCCCTCTCTCGGCTTGCCCCGCCTGCCACGCCTGCAGGCCTTCGTCAGCTGCTTTCTGTTTCCGGTCTTGAGTGAGAAAACCTGCCTGCCTGCCGCTGCCTGCCTGGCGGTGCTGCCTTTTGTTTGCCTGCTGCCTGCACAGCCTGCTCAACAGGCCCCTTGCGTGCTACACGAGCGAGAAGTTTTGCCCTTGCCTGCCTCTCTGCCCCACCCCGCACCTGCCAGGCGCAACCGACTTCCCTTACTTCCACGGCGGGCCCGTGGCCTGGCGCACACACGCGGCAGCAAACATGTGCGTGCGCGGGGCGCCTGCCTGGCAGCGGGCCCCGCGCCGCAGCGCTGCCTGAGGCCCGCGTGTTGGGCCCCCCGGGATCCTGTGTCTGGCCACCCGAGGATCCACTGCCCTCCCAGGCCGCCTTCCTTTCTCCTCCTGCCAACAGGTTCATAGAGGTGTACCACTGGATTCGGTCGCACTATCCGTACTGGGACCGCAACGGCGGCAGGGACCACATCGTGGTGGGTGGGCCGCCAGCGCCTGGCTGGGTGCTGGGGCTGGGGCTGGGGGTCTGGGAAGGGGGCAGGGAGGCAGCAGGGGATGCGCGGGAGGTGAGGCGGGTGCGGCGGCGCCTGCCACGCGAGGGCACAGGCGAGTCAGTCGCTTGGCGCTGCCTCCCTGCAGGGCTCCTTCCACGACGAGGGCTCCTGCTGGGTGCCCGCCGTGCTGCGCCCCGCCATCATCCTCTCCCACTGGGGGCGCACCGAGTTCCCGCACGTCAGCGGTACGGGGTGAGCGGGCAGGGGCATGTGTGTGTGTGTGTGTGTGGTGGGGGCCTGTGGGCATGGCGGGCAGGGGGACTGGCTGCCTGCCATTCCGCCTGTAAGTAAAGTGTGCTCCGGGAGACGGACAGGCACCCCCTGGTGAGGGGCAGCCTGGCCCTGCGCTGCGCTGCGCTGGGCCTTGCTGCCGGCCGCCTGCTGATGCCTCCAGCCATCCACCTCGCCCCCCCTTGCTGCCCCTGCCTCAGCTACTGGCCCGACAACTACACCTCCGACTCGCACCACCCGGTGTGGCAGCCAGAGGGCCACACCCACAAGCTGGGAGAGTTCCCGTGCTACGACCCCAAAAAGGCACGGGCGGCGCCGCCGCCGCGGCCGCCGGGCGCTACGCCCTACTGTGCTGTGCTGCGCGCCATGCCTGCCTGCCTGCCCGCAACTGGCTGCCGAGCATGGGCGCATGCTCGCGCTCGCTCCGCTCCGCTGCACCCCTCACCCGCCTTTCTCACGGGCGGTGCAGCCGCCCCCATCTGCTGCCCCAGTGTTCCCCTCAGCCCCCAACCCAGCCGCCGCCTCCCTCGTGCCTGCCTGGCGCAGGACCTGGTGCTGCCGGTGATGCACAGCGCCCAGAAGTATCTGGAGAGCCCCATGCTGGGGGCGCCCACCCGCGAGCGCCGCATCCTGGCCTTCTTCAAGGGCCGCACCCAGCAGTCCAACCCAGAGTACTCGCGCGGCATTCGCCAGACGCTGGAGAACCTGACGCGTGAGCGGAGCGGGGCTTGGGTGTGGGGCCGCGGTGTGGTGTGGGTGCGCCTGTGTGTGGCGGTGGCGTCGGGGGGGGCCTTGGTGGCTGCTGGGCGGCGCGCGGATGGCTGGCGGGGCAGGCCCTTGGTGCAGGCCTGCTGGGCAGGGCGCTCCCCTGCTTGAAGGCAATGCTTTGACCCTGGCGCGGCCCCCCCTGCCGCGCCTGCCGCAGGCGAGCACGACTGGTGGGGCAAGCACAAGGTTCACGTCGGGGAGGAGATGCCCGAGGGGGAGAGCGACAGCTACAGCGCCATGCTGGCGCAGTCCGTCTTCTGCTTTGCCCTCATGGGCGACGGCTTCTCCTCGCGCACAGACGACGCCATCATCCACGGGTGCGCGCTCGAGAGGCGGCCGCGGCTGTGTACACGTGCGGGGGCGGGGAGCGGGCCCCCGGGCCGTGCCCAGCAGCCACTCGCTTGCTCTGTCGCGACGCACCAGCCGCTTCCCGGGCCATTGCCCAACATGCACCTCCCCGTCCCCGCCTCCCCTCCCCTACACACCACCGTCCGTCCCCCCCACCCCTCCCTGCCCGCCTGCAGCTGCATCCCGGTGCTGATCCAGGACGGCGTGGAGCCCACCTGGTCCAACCTGCTGGACACGGGGAGCTACAGCGTGCGCATCCTGCAGAAGGACATGGAGCGGGTGCCCGAGATACTGCAGGCCATCAGCAAGGAGGACGTTGCGCGCATGCAGGCCAACCTGGGCAAAGTGTGGCGCAGGTGGGTGGGTGGGGGG